GGAAGCAGCATTGGTTGCTAAGTGACGAGCTGGCACCTAGGGCGTGCTCCACACCCGAGCCCCTCTGCAGTGTGCTTTCGGTAATTGAGGCCTCCTTTCAGAGTACCAGGCAACTTCATCATCTGATACGCTGCCTGAGAAAACAACCCTACTACCCACCCCAGCTACTACAGGGGGATGATTAGAGTATGGATGGGCTGGCTGTTAACACGTCCCCACAGTGGGCCAGCAGGCCCTTGGCCAATGAAGAGTATTAAACATACAGGCTGGCTCGGCGCCTGTGGCTCAAGCGGCTAAGGCGCCAGCCACATACACCTAAGGTGGCGGGTTCGAATCCCCAGCCCGGGCCTGCCAAACAACAATGATGGCTGCAACCAAAAAATGGCCAGGCGTTGTGGCAGGCACCTGTAGTCCCAGCTACTTGGGAGGCTGAGACAGGAGACTCGCTTGAGCCCAGGAGATGGAGGTTGCTGTGAGTGTGATGCCATGGCACTCTACCCAGGGGGATAGCTTGAGGCTCCGTCTCAAAAAAAAAAAAAAAAAAAAGCATACAGGCTGCAGAATTTGCTGCCCCTGGTGCCTGGAATAGGATGAACCATGAGGGAGGGACTCTTGCTGGGTGTATGCTAAGCCAAAAGCATACACACAGGGAAACCAAGGCCCAGGGCGGTTAGAGCAAATGGTACCAGTTGGCACAGTTGGTCAGGAATTGAGAACCTGCTTCACTTGATGCAAAGGCAGGGGCAGAGAGTAATCACTTCTCTCTGAGTCCTTTGATCCCACTGTTTGTCCCAGGCAATGCTTTGGGATCGTTGGCTGGGAACACTTTGTCTCTCCAGGCGCTGTGCTGAAAGCTGTCCTTTCACCAGTATCTGGACTCCAGGCTTCAGGGGACTGGGGGTGAGAGAGGAAGGGTTGTTCCAAGTTGCTGCCTCTCCCTTCCCTTTAAAAAACTCTTCAGCCTGGAGAACGCATCAAGGACAGAGGAAGGAGACCTGAGTGCTGATAGCTGTGTGGCCTGAGCCACGCTTTATGCCACCCTGGACCTCAGCGCCCCATCTGTAACCTGGAGCTGCCAACTCACTTCCCTGGCCCTGGTGTCATTTGAATGAGCATATGAGAAGAGGCACCATCTGTGAGCACCCCCTGGGTGTGGGCTCGGTTCTAAGATCAGTACAGCTCATCGTTCTCACAACGCTGTGAGGTGGGCTCTGTGGGCATCCTTCTTGGGCAGACAAGGAAACTCACACTCAGTGAAGTTAGGAAACTTGCCCAGGCCAGCCAGTTAGCACATAGTGAACCTGGGATTTGAACCCAGGCCATCTGACTCCTGAGCAGTATCACCTCCCCATACTGTAAAGTATGTAAAAAATGTTTTTGAATGGTTTCGAACTATTACTAGTATGAGCTATATTTTTAGTAATAACAACAAGGTTAAATGTTTAATACAAGGCCTTTTGTTGACCTTTTGAACTCAAGCTTGGCGTTTCAGGCTCTTATTTGGCTGCCTTTGACACTAGGATAGGTGAGGGGTAGGAGTTTTAAGGTACTACCTTAAGGCTACCCAGCAGCCTTAAGAGGTTGCCAATTCTCAATTCTTTCTCTGCTTCCCACCTCCACTCCTGCTGTGAACTCACTTTGGCCCTTCCTGAGAAGAAACAGGGGATTTGTGGGACCAAATGTAAATATGGACACTTGTGTAATTTAAAATGCATAAAGGTAAATATCACGAGGCTTCCAGGCAGCAGCCACTGCTATTCAGATTTTCCCATGTGCCGAACTTGTGCCAGCCAGTCCATATGTAGCCACTGAACAGATTCTCACAGCCGCCCTCCCTGGAGATGGGGACTGTCATTAAATAGAACCCTTTTACCCATGAAGAGACTAATGGGTACATAATTAAAGTGCCTTGTCCCAGAGCATACAGCCAGTGTGTGGCCCAAGTCTTCAGTGGCTGTCCCTTACTCAGAGCCCTCCCTCGTCTCCCAAGCTCTCTCTCTACCCCACCTCCTTTGGCCACTTGGCTATTCCTGAAATTCCCAGTGCTCCTTCCTTTGGGGGAGCTTTGTGTCCCTTCCGATGGGCCTCCCTCAAATGACATTTAGAGACACCTTTCCCAACTCCCTCCTGCCCACCCACCCAGCATAAAAGAGACACCTGCCAGCTTGCCCTGTCCCTCCGCTGGCCATTATATGGTACTTCTGTTTCTTTAATATTGGGCCCCTCCGTACAATGTGTAAGCTCCATGGGAGGAGGAGCTTCTCCTCCTTGCCTGTTTGGCTACCTACTGTAGTCTTCGCACCTAGAACAGACCCTGATATGTGTGAAGCACTCAGGAAATGTATGTCAGGTGAGCGAGTGAATGAGTGAATAAACTCAGGCCTGTCTGACTTCAAGGCTCATTCCCCGTGCCCCCTCCCCTCCACCATGCCCAGCTGACTTTTCCCTATGTCCCCCAGTCTTCTCAGATGAGACTCTGGTCAGGGCGTCAGGAGAGCCTGAGCACCCCTGAGCACTTCAGTTCCTCTCTCTGGGCCTCAGTTTCCTTGACTATAAAATGGGAATGCTGAGTAGGGTAATTGCTAGGATCCTTTACACTTTAATTTCTGAGAGTCTGACCTTGCTGTCACCTGAGCATATGCATTGGGCACAGCTTCCAGTCGTGATTGCAGTTCAGCCCAGTGTCTCAGCTTGCAGGTCTGTACTAGCACTCTGCAAACCCGATGGCACAGCAGGTCCTTGAGTCCCCAGGTCGCCACCCTATGATGCAGGAGGCTCAGATGCATCAGAGACACCTTGGGAAGGAAGAGGGAGCTCCTATTGAGCTGATGCCCTGTGGTTGCTGTGATGCTGCTGTGGTCATCCTTCTCCGGCTTTACCAGAATGTGCTCACTTTGTCCTTGGATCCTCCTAGTTTTAAATGATGCTATTTTTCCTCCCAGCCCTTGGTGGGAACTGCCACTCACTAGGCTATTTATGGAGAGGCCTGGGCTCTAGCTGGTCAGCATCAAGATCAATTCTGCAGACTTGTAGGAGTCCCCCTCGGTTTTCTCCAGTTGTGGCTTGATGACCAGTAAATCATACCTAATGCATTTCAGATTGTTCTGATTAAATTCCACTGCAGGCAGAGTAGCTGGAGGGAGGCTCTGAGCCAAGGCACCCTAGTGATTACAGTTCCCAGAGGGACCCCGGTTCTTCCCCCCAGCTCTAATCTTAGATAAAAGCTCTTGATATAAGCAGTAGGAGAGGAGGAGATGCCCAAACAAGCAGCCATTCCTTCACTTGAGCCTCTTGGGAACTGGGACCTGCTGAGTGGGGAGGGGGCTCATCTGTCAGCCCAGGCGAGGACACGGGCCCTGCATTGCATAACTCCCCGGGGCCACCTTTTACTTGCATAGTGTAAGGCTGAAAGTCCCACAGACATAAAAGGACCACCCTTGGGCACGCTCCAGGACACAGTGAGATGGTTGGCTGGCCCACTGTGAAGTGAGTCCTGACAGAGAGCTTCTTGTAGGGAATTCTGTAGGCTATTTTAGGTGGGCTAGTTTTATCCCAGTTATTCCAAAGCCCAAAACTCTGACTGTTCCTGGAGTTGGAGGGGAACGTCATTAAAGACTCATTGTCTCCCTTGAATGAGGAGGGAACGGAGATGTCACCCATGAATGTGGTCGGAGGCCTGGTCTAGGGAGGGCTAGCCAACTCCACAAACCTGTGTGGACAGTTGTCCCCCCCTGCTAGGCCTCCCAGCTTCATTAAGTGGGTAAGTCCATCTGGCTGGCCAGGTCCCCTTGAAGGTTGGGCCTTTGCTGGAGTCAGCCAGGTGTCTGGGTCAAGGACAGCAGGAAGGGCAGCCTGTGCCATTCAGGTGGAACATGCATAGGAGAAGGACAGACTTCCAGAGACAGCCATTCCCTTAATAAAGGAATAACAGAGTTGGGTAACTTACATCCCTAGAAAGATGCAGGGCAACTGTGAGCCGGGGTGTGGATGTTTAATTTTAAATCCTCCAACCTCTCCCAATGAGGAAGTGCTTTGAAACGAAACTGAATGTTGAGATTCTTCAAAGGATGCATTTTCTTGGTGCTTTATTGCTTTAAGAGAAAGCATGAAAGACAAATGAGGGCTGGCGGGTGCAGAGGAGGGTTTCGCCTCCCCCCCCGCCTGTGTTGTGCAGACATTATCTGCTGTAAAACTGTCGCTGAAGGATGGAGAATCAGCTCTTGGCTGCAGTGGCCCTCAGATAATGTCAATGCTGAGCGATGACTGAGGATTTGTTGGCACTGAGCAAACACCTCGCAGGCTCTGGTTCCAGAATCCTTAGCTGAGCCTGGTTAGTGGCTCCTGCTAGGGGAATGAGAGGCCAGAGGCACTGGCATCCAGTGGCCCATGGTTAGGGCTCTAGAGGCTTTTTTTTTCTTTCAAACATTAATGTCCCTTTGAATTGCTTGGGGGACCCTGTAAAAGTGCAGAGAATGATTCAGTAAGTCTGGCATGGGCCTGAGAGTCTGCATTTCTACTGGTATAAGAACTGACTGCATTTTGAATAAAAAGACCCTCAAGAAGGTAGACACTGGTTTCCCTGGCGCCCACCGAGGGGCTTTGGCTAAATAAATAACACACAAGATGGCTGGGTCTTGACCATAACCTTGGCTACCATGGAAGAAGAAGGCTGTGGGCACCTCCAAAGGGTCTTGAACACTCCAGGCTCTGTAGCATAAAAGGGAAAAATGGCATCACGGAATCACGGATAACACTTTGTCTGTGTTTGGTGTATGGTTTTGCCTATTTTGTCTTATTTGGTTTACCTTTCTGAGGATGCTCAGGAAAGGCCTGTGGGAAGACTGAGTCTGCGCTCCTCCACCATCACCCCTGATGGGGAGAGAAGGCGCACTCAGTGTTTGAGGCTCCTGACCAGTGTTAAAGTGTGTGACAGGAAGTTGATTTGGGTATGTCCACCTGTTGTCTTCAGCTAATTCTCCCCTACTCCCCTGGATTCGCAGGTCCCTGGATGAGAAGGAGCTGACAGCAGCCGAGTCCCACCTTCTCTGTGTGCTGGGGAGCGGGGCCTCACAGCCCAAGTGGCAGGCATGCCTAAGAACAGCAAGGTGACACAGCGTGAGCACAGTGGTGAGCATGTTACCGAGTCAGTGGCCGACCTGCTGGCCCTCGAGGAGCCTGTGGACTATAAGCAGAGTGTGCTGAATGTGGCCGGGGAGGCAGGCGGCAAGCAGAAGGTTGTGGAGGAGGAACTGGATGCAGAGGACCGGCCAGCCTGGAACAGCAAGCTGCAGTACATCCTGGCCCAGATCGGCTTCTCTGTGGGCCTCGGCAACATCTGGAGGTTCCCCTACCTGTGCCAGAAAAATGGAGGAGGTGAGAGGTGGCCAAACTCACACAGGGGGTGCCCGCAAGTGGGCTGCACTAAGGCATGGAGAAGAATACCCCTGTGCTGAGGCAGAATAGAGCCCTCCTGGGTGGGAGGTTCCAGAGTGAGACCCCCCAGCGCTAACTGCAGTAGTGCTAATCCCTATCGAGCTTGCTGGTGAGGAGGTGGGCTCTGGCCCCAGACTGCCTGGGTTCCCACCCAGCCCTTCCCAGGACCTGCTCGAGTTGCTTGACTTCTAAGTGCCACTTCAGCAAAATGGCAATAACATAGCTCCCACCTCACAGGATAATTGGGTGGGTTGTATGAGTCTTCCATGTGGCACACATAACACGTGCCCGACACACTATTACTACACACTTGCCAGGTCCTAGGCACTGTTCTAAGGGCTTAATAGACATTAGGCTTCAGTGCCTGAAACTGCTGATATTTGAGCATCTTGGAACAACCAGCGTACCCATTTCATAGAGTTGAGCCACTGAATCCTCCCAAAAACCTTGTTGAGGAAAGAGTTATCATCCTTATTTTAGAGACTGCAAAACTGAGGTATAGACTAGTTAGGTAACCTGTTACAGCTGATGATAAAGTCAAGGTTCAAATCTGGACAGCCTTCCCCAGAGCCTGGGCACGTAACCACCACTCCTCCTGCCTCCCAGGTAGTGGGCCCTTGAGCTGCCCACTGTGTCTGAATCCCTCTTTAATCCCTGGTATTAAACCACCACTTCCAGAGCCAGGCTGGGGAGAAGCCCCCTGATATTGTCTCTCGAGCACCTCTGAGGTAGGCTGGAATTTTCCAAAGGCAGCTTGCTCTGAAACCAGGAAACAACTTACCGAAAATAAACAAAACCTCAATAGGCTGGAAACATTGATGTTTCCAAGCCCAGATCTCGGGTCCTGAGACAGTTACCCAGCAAAGCCAGCAGAGAGCTCTTGGTGCACCTGAGTCCCTGTGCCCTGGGACTGCATGTTCCATCCTGCCAAAGCTTTGCAGGATTGTCAGCTTTGCTCCTTCCCCCCACTCCTTGGGACTCTGACATGTAGCCTCTTCCAAGACGCAGCCCCCTTCAGGGACATTCCTCTTCTCTCCAGGACATATTTCTTTCTCTGGTTGAAAAGGCCACACCTGGTGGCCTTTCCAGTTTCTATGGAAGGGCAGGGTATGGGAATGCCCACCTGAGTCTATGTGTTTGAGTTAGGCCAGAGACTTCTGTCTACCATAATACAGCAAATTCACAACATGGTCTCCTTGCTTTAAAGATCTTTTTTTTCCCCAGTAAGTAACTGTCCATCAGAGCTTTGGTCTGCATGGCATGGTCACTGAGTTGACATAATACCAGCCCAAAGCAAAGATATAAATATAAGTGTGTGGTTTCCTCAAGCCCTGTGAGATGTTAAGAAGACCTCCAAGGCACCCAAAGCAATTTCAAAGGGCACATGGCACTTGGGGACTTCACTGGGAACCTCTACTCTTGTCCTTTCTGGCTTAGATGATCAATTCTGCCTAGACGCTTGGTGCTGAATCACAGAGTCCCTTTCTCTGTCACACACACACCCACTTCCACCCAAACCCAGGGCAGCGTACTTGCCACAGGCTTCCCATTCACAGACACTCACCAGACAGAAAGGGCCTCCCACAGAAAGAAAGTGTTGTCGACTCTCAGGATTCTGAATTCACCATTCCACGTTGCTGCCTTCATCCTTCCATCCTCTGATTCCTATAATTCCTTTACCTTTAACTGTCCCGAAGTCACCTTAATTTTTTTTTTTTTTGAGATAGAGTCTCACTATGCCACCCTCAGTAGAGTGCTGTGGTGTCCCAGCTCACAGCAACCTCCTCAAACACTTGGGCTTAAGCGATTCTCTTGCCTCAGCCTCCCAAGTAGCTGGGACTACGGGTGCCTGCCACAACGCCCAGCTATTTTTTGTTGCGGTTGTCATTGTTATTTAGCTGTCCTGGGCCAAGTACGCCAGCTCCGTGTATGTGGCTGGCACCATAGCCACTGTGCTCCAGGCACCAAACCCACCTTAAATATTTTTTAGAAGGAGAAGAAATATCACAGGAAGGAGATAGCTATTTGGTCTCCAAGAGTTGGTTCTCTGTGTGTTGAACCATGCCTGATCCAATCAAGCTGCTTAATTATGAATGGAAACTCTGGAGCTCTCCTTAGCTCCACTAGATGCTGATGGTTTCTTTATTCTATATTCTCTTAGTTTTCTTTTTTTCCTGTTTATGAAAAAGAGGCAAATGTTTATCAAGCACTTACCCAGGTAAGTAACTCATTTAATCTTCACCACAGTCCTCCACAGCAGGGTGATATAAATATAAGATATAAATATAAGTGTGTGGTTTGAAGGTTTGAAGCTTATAAAAGGGCCATTCTTATAAGTCAGCAATGATAAATATCAGAAACTTCATACCTAATATTTTCACTCTCTTTACACAGATGCCAAAATGGCAGCACAGAGGGACCAAGCAATTTGCCCAAAGTCACACAGTTAGTAAGTGGCAGAGCCAGGATTTGAGGCAAGGTCTAACTCCAGAATTTGGAGCTCAGATCCTATGCAAACTATATCTCAACAGGCTGAGGCCCTGGTGGTCTTTTAAACCTCAGGAATAACCTCAGGGGTTGCCAGAATTGAGGCTCAGAGCGTCAACTGAGGCATAAACTCTCAGACACCCAGGGGACCTCCGAGATCTGGGATCCACTCCTCTGTGGCTGTGTTCCACTAAATTTCCTGATGCCCCACACTGTGCTCCCAGCTGTTCAGAGGAATGATTTGAAGCTCCAGAAAGCCACTGAAACATCCAAAAAAATCTACTTGTGTCCCCAGGTTGTATTTCCTCAGGTATAAGAGAGTGTATGTTGTATATTCTAATGATTTCAACAAAGATTGGTATGAAAAAGTATCTGTGATTAACCACAGATTCTGCCTACCTTGAGCACAGCCCCCATGGTGGAGCTAAGTCAGGTCAGCGCCCTGTTGCCTGGCTGAGGCAAATAGGGACAGGGTGGCAGGGGGCTGGTACCCAGCCCCTGTCACTCTTTAACAGCACTCACCTGGAGGCTGTCCCTGGTTTGGGGGGGAGAAGAGAAAAGGATCCATAGATGATGCCAACAACTGAAACCCATCTCCTTATACATCTTGCCCCCCCAAAGGATACTGGGACAAAATACAAAGCCAGCAAGGGTATAAATCCCTCTCCCTTGCTACAGCAGATCACTTCTCTCTTATTCCATTTCCCGGCACCTAAGACCAAGAGACTGAGTTAAAGACAGATCCATGGGCCTGAGTGTGTGGTCCTTCAGGCCCTTCCTCCTTTGAGTACCATGATGGGATTGCTTGCTGATAACAGTTGAATGCGGCTCAGCGCCTATAGCTCAACCGGCTAAGGCACCAGCCACGTACACCTAAGGTGGCGGGTTCGAATCCCCAGCCCGGACCCGCCAAACAGCAATGATGGCTGCAACCAAAAAATAGCCGGGCATTGTGGCGGGCGCCTGTGGTCCCAGCTACTTGGGAGGCGGAGGCAGGAGACTCGCTTGAGCCCAGGAGTTGGAGGTTGCTGTGAGCTGTAATGCCACGGCACTCTGCCCAGGGGGACAGCTTGAGGCTCTGTCTCAAAAAAAAAAAAAAAAAAAACAGTTGAATGCATGTGTGCAGGTGTGTGTCTAATTAATGAGGTGCTGTTGCATCAGGCTCAGTGGGTTTCCTCCCCTGGAAGGTTTTCCTGATTAGTTCCATTGGAACCCGGCCCTTCCTCAGCATGCATGTGCACACGTGGCCCATGTGACTAGACTGCGGTGTGTGTGTGTACACATGCACGCTGAAATTGCTATTGCTTATGTGAATCTAAGGGACCTGCCTCTCTGGTGGATGGTGAACTTCCCCAGGATGGTGTCTGTGCCTTCTACACTCCACCAACCCCCGCCGCCCATGCCTGGCACAGAGTAGACCCTAAGGAAATAGTAGATCACTATCAAGTGCCAGGTTTCATGCCCAGGGGATTGGGCACACGTTGGGCATCATGCAGAGTATTGTGGTTTGGAGGGACAGAATAGTATGTCTGGGAGCTTCTGAAAACTCCTTGCTTGCAAGGCTTGGTCTGGGGGTGCTGGGTAACTGTCAGGGCCTTGGTGACCCAGCCTGGCCTGACGTTGTTTGATAGCCAGGCAGGGCCTTGCTAACAGGACTAGGTTGTTGGCACAGCTGTCAGCAGGGTGCAGTCGTCTGTGTCCGGATGTGGTGTTAATTCTCCTGCTAAATGCCCTGTCACTTGGAATGGAGATCGTGTCTGCAGCGAGGCCTGGACGGTGAGATTAATTTATCATGTGGAATCTTTAGTGAGATCTATTCTATCCTTTATGATCCTCCGGCTACGCTTTCCTGAGCTGCTAATTTCTCTCCCGTTCCTTCCAATTAGCTTTAGATTAATGGCAAAGCTGGTCAGACCCTCTCTCCCTGGAGAGCTTCCAAGCTCTACTTCCCTAGAGCTGCCCAGTCTGCTGTGTCAGTGTCTGGCTCAGGCGCAGGGATGGCTCGCCCAGGGAGCCCCCTTTGCTATCTGGAGCTGCTATTCCGTGGGCGGGAGGGGGTGTGAACAGGTGTCCACAGAGTACCTCATGAGTGAGTGTGTCTATGTGTGACCTGACAAGCAGATTCCTGAATGGCAGTGTGGTGTCTGTCTGTCTCTGAGCCTAGCCTTGTGACTGGGAGATGCTGACAGATATATTGTCTCTCCCTGAGTGTTTTCAGGTGTGTGTGTGGGGGGGTGTCAAGGGGCAGAAGGAGGGTCTTGGTGCCAGTGTGTGGTAGGTCACATGTGGGTCAGACCATTTGTTGAAGAGCACCGGGACGGGTGACAATTTGCAGATGATCAGAGATGGGCTGAGACTGGAGCCCATGGCTCCCAGGCCTTCCCTTGCCCAGTGGCCATGTGCTAGATGCCTGTGATTCCCTCCCACTCCCCACAGGTGCCTACCTGGTGCCCTACCTGGTGCTGCTGATCATCATTGGGATCCCACTTTTCTTCCTGGAGTTGGCCGTGGGCCAGAGGATCCGCCGCGGCAGCATCGGCGTGTGGCACTACGTGTGCCCCCGCCTGGGTGGCATCGGCTTCTCCAGCTGTATTGTGAGTTGAGGGTGGGGGAAGGCACTAGTGGGAGGCAGGGGAGCTGCTCTTGGGTGTTGGGAAGGAGGTCACTGAGTACATAGGCCAGAGCAGGAAGGGGATCCTCAACGTGAGAATTGCTTCCAGCTTGTGTCTCAGGACTCCAGTCCATGTGTTTCCTGAGTAGAGTGCTGACCACACTGCCCAAAACAGCAGTGGCAGACTCACTGACACAGGAGACAGCAAGGCCCCTGGAAGGGGCCATTCAACATCCAGAGTGGGTGCAGCAAAGAGTTGCCTATAAAAATGTTGCTTTCAAAGAAAACCCTCCAAGGGTGGGGAATCTGTGGCTTTCTGATTTCAAGATCATTCTTTTATGAGGCAAGAAAAGCTTCATCTTTCTCTGCTGCACCCCTTTAATAAAAAAATTTGTTCTGTTAAGTTTGGATCCAGTAAAAAGATCACACTTAAGGACCAGGAAGGTCACAAGTTTCCTTTTTTTTTTTTTCTTTTTTTTTTTTTTGAGACGGAGCCTCAAGCTGTCCCCCTGGGTAGAGTGCCATGGCATCACGCTCACAGCAACCTCCAACTCCTGGGCTCAAGCGAGTCTCCTGCCTCAGCCTCCCAAGTAGCTGGGACTACAGGCGCCCGCCACAACGCCTGGCCATTTTTTGGTTGCAGCCATCATTGTTGTTTGGCGGGCCTGGGCTGGGGATTCGAACCCGCCACCTTAGGTGTATGTGGCTGGCCCCCTAGCCGCTTGAGCCACAGGCGCCGAGCCACAAGTTTCCTTAAGACCACAAATTCCCCACTCCTACAAATGACATCTTTCTAGAGACAGGCTACTAACAGTGCCAACGAGAGGGTAGAATCCTGAGAGAAGGGAGGACTCGGTGGGCCACTAAGAAGAACCCATAAAATCTCAAAGCACAGTGGTCTGGGGCCGCTTACTAGAGGGGCCAAAGCTGTGCCTCCATGGTCCTGGAGGGCATCACTGTGATTAGGATTCTAAGTCATCAGGAAATGACAGGGAAGTGCTTTGAGTGTCTCAGAAGAATTTCAAACTGGAAAAGCTTAACATTTTAAGAGTTGGTTGCTTCCCAGGAGAGAACTTTAATATCTGAAAAATTCCTTTGTGCATTCCCTGAATATCAGGTGAATGGGGGATTAAAAGAAGGCCCACAACTGCCCACATCTCATCCCTCCTCTTCCTCCTTAAAGGTCGAGCAGCCCTGTTCTTTGTCATTGCCGCTTATGCTGCTGGGCCTTGGCTGGGGTGTGGGGTGGGGGTGCAGTTGCCTGCAGCCTCTGTGATCCCTGCTCCGGCCCCTGTCCGTAGGTCTGCCTCTTCGTGGGGCTGTATTATAATGTGATCATTGGGTGGAGCATCTTCTACTTCTTCAAGTCCTTTCAATACCCGCTGCCCTGGAGTGAATGTCCTGTCATAAGGAATGGGACCGTGGCAGGCAAGTATGGAGCCCCAGCTGGGAATGCTACCTAGCCCTGTCTCAGGAAGGGGTCTGTGGGATGCCAGCTAGCCCTGTCCCAGGAGGGGGTCTATGGAGCACCTGCTAGCCTGTCCCAGGAAGGGGGTCTATCAGGCTTGGTGCACAGAGACAGGACTTCACTTCACTGTACATCATCTTAACATCTCCGATCCTCATTTCCTTTTCCCCGTGTGAAAGAGCATTCTCTTTCTACCTTTTTCTTATGGAGTAAAAGAATCAGTGTAGGTCCAACTCTGGACCTTGTGACTCGTGGTTAGTTGTTATGAATTACTCTGTGTTGTTCTAACACCATGCCTTCTGGGAACACTTAATACACATGCCAACCCTATGAAGGACCCAGAAGTGACTCTGCCATGTTTATACCACTCATTTAATCATTGATCCGAGATGAGAACCCAGGTCTCCAGCTCCCAGCTGTATCCCAAGGTACAATAGACCAGTTCAGCCTAACCTTCCTACCTTCCATGGAAGATATGCGCAGGGGTGGCATGGGGGAGACTTCAGCTAGGTCAGCATGTCACAAAGCCTCCCAGGCCCATCTGGAGCTCAGGATTCCCCAGGGCCTGCCAGACCATAGCCAATCTGGAACAAACCCAGCCCCTCTCAGCTGCCTGCCCTCAGCCACTCCATTCACCCGCTGCTGCCCTGAGTGGGGTCCAGGAGAGGAGGTGGCCCCACACACCCTGCCCTTTACTGCTATTTCAGTGGTGGAGGCAGAGTGTGAAAAGAGCTCAGCCACCACCTACTTCTGGTACCGAGAGGCCTTAGACATCTCTGATTCCATCTCGGAGAGCGGGGGCCTCAACTGGAAGATGACCTTGTGCCTTCTCGTGGCCTGGAGCATTGTGGGCATGGCTGTCGTCAAAGGCATCCAGTCCTCAGGGAAGGTGAGTGGTGGGGGCACTCAAGACCCAAACAGGGGGCAGGATCCCATACAGCATCCTTCAGGAGGGCATAGGCTTGGGATGGCTCCTGGTGATGATGACACAGGTCCCCAGAGGAGGAGGGTGGAAGAGTTACTGCTACAGGTTTGCTCACTGAGACAGCCCATGGCGGGTAGGTTACAAGTGAGCTTGCTGGAAAATCATTGTCCTGACCCCCAGCCACCTCCACACTCAGGTAACTCAGGCCTGCTCTGCAAACATTACAGAATTAACCCCAGCAAAAGGCCTAGAAAGAAGAGCCTGCTTGAGGAAATTTTTGATAAAAACCAACAGCTTTCCATGCCTGCAGGGCCCTTTGAGTTGGTGTGTGCTAGGAGTGAAGGGCACCTTGGGGGCCTCAGAAGGCAGCTCCTCAGCAGTCTCTAAGGGGCAGACCAGCCGAGCCCCAACCTCTTCCCAGCAGGCCAGATCCCTTTTAAATAAGGGCTTTTTCTCACTTGTCACATACCAGCATGCATGGGCTGCCAGGGTAGCAAGGACCTTAGGGATCCTATAGGCCAATCTACTCATTTCACAGATGAGGACACTGAGGCCTAGAGAGGGGAAGGCACTTCACCTAACATCACACAGCCAGTGGGTCTCAGAGTTGGAACTAGAACTCTTGCTAGCTGAGGCTCCTGGTTCTTTACTACACTTGATAAGCAAGGAAGCACCAACCTCTTTCTTCTCCAGAGGCCAAAATAAGAGCTGATGCCTCGTGGCACTTCCAGGTACCTTTGGTTCACAACAACCTTATGCATCAGGAATTAACTACACCCATTTTAGAGAGAAGAAGACAGAGGCATGTGGAGGTTAAGCCAGTCACCTGGGATCATGTGGTTGCTAAGTGGTAGAGCCAGGATCAGAAATCTGGCAGTCTGGCTCTGGACATTTCCTTTCTGCCCAAACAGCCCTCTTGCTGTTTCAGTGCAGCAAACTGTGAGCATATCTTTTATGTGAGGCTCTGGAGCAGGATAGAGAAATGTGCAAGAAATGCTTATACTGGAAAATAGCACCTGACTTTAGTCACCAGCAGCCAGGTTGGTCTTCACATCTTTTCTGCTTGGGAGCCACATTGGTAACCTCCTGGATGTCATGTGTCAAAGAACCTCTAAAGACAGCAGTGATTCTTCAGAGGTCCCCTGGGCGCATGCAACATGGGAAAATAAGGAGTGGAGAGCAAAGGGCTCCCTCAACCCCTTGGCAGCCCTTGAAAGGAGAACCGCAGCCCCAGGCACAGCCATGCCGACTCCAGCTTGTCCTGCTCCTGCTTCTGCCTTGGCTCAGTGCCAGAAGCGCAGGGGGTTTGGCCCCATGCCCAGGGGTTCCAGGGCTCTGGTTTCTGCTGCCATCAGAGGAGGCTCATGTGCCCCAGCTGTGAGGAGGGAGAGGGATGCCAGCTGCTAGAGGGGCTCTGCCTGATGGTGCGTCCCTGTTCTCTCTGCAGGTGATGTATTTCAGCTCCCTCTTTCCCTACGTGGTGCTGGCCTGCTTCCTGGTCCGGGGGCTGCTGCTGAGAGGGGCAGTTGATGGCATCTTACATATGTTCACTCCCAAGGTAAGGGTTTGGGACTCCCACACACCAGGGGACACCGACAGGCCCACTGGGCCTGATTAGCTTCATGCCATTTAATGCACATTGAATACCTGTTATGTGTTAGATGTATCAGGCCCTGGAGGGATGCACAGGGAAGGGGGCATGGGCCCTGCCCTCAAGGTTCCAAGGACAGGTATATCACATCAATTTGGATGAACTTAGAAAAAGCTTCGGGGAGGAGACAATGAAATGAGCCTTATGGAGCAGGTAGGATTGCGGTGAACAGCCCTGGGATGTTGTAATCAAAAGGACGGCACGGGCAAGGGTGTGGAGAATCACTGGGCATGCTTGAGGCAACGGTGGGAAGTCAGGTTTGGCTCGGGCACAGGGGTAGGGTATTTCATTCATTCATTCATTCATTCACGGGGCTTTCATTGGATGACAGCGGGAACCAAGAAGATGCCCAAGGGAAGAGAATTCCTGGGAATCCTACTTTGTACCCAAATCAGAGGAATGAAGTTACTATCTTACTAAAGAGAATAGACCACGAGGGTAGTGATTTTAACGTTACTGAACCTAGTCACACCTCCTCTTGAAGCTCTCTGTCACCCAGGTGGGAACAAGCAGGACTAGCAGGTTAACTGTTCATGTTTCACAGAGCCACAGGCGTCCTGAGGATGTACACTCAGGTTCTCTAGTGGCAATCTATCCGTACCTCTGGCCTTGCCTCTCTATGAGCTGTCAGCCCACTGGGCACAGCTGACATGAGTCAGTCTACGAGGAACAAGAGATTTCCAAATGCAGATTGGCTTGCCCTCAAGTTGCCCCACACCATATACATTAGTAACCAGCTGGTCAGGCCGAGAAGTCTGCCTCCAAATGCAGCCAACCAGTGAGCAGCCCTCAGAGGCCCTGTGACATGACAGCTCAGGATCAGAACCCAGCCAGTCCAGCTGGAAGTCCTCAGTGTTCACTGATGCCACCTTGAGCTTGTGTGTGTGTGTGTGTCCTTACACAGACAGCTCATGCAGATGACATGGGAAGACCAAGCAGGGTTTGAAATCTCCATTCCCTCCTGACTCCCCTTCCCTGCTGCTAGGAATAGGTTCCTGATGTTTGGTGGGGGGTGGGGGGGAGGTGGCACTGTCCAGGGCACATACTACCCTGTGATCACCAGACAGGACATACATTGGCCCTTGGTGTTCTTGGATATAACACCTGAGGTTTCTACATGAACATCTACAAAGGTCCACTTTTTTTTTTTTTTTTGAGACAGAACCTCAAGCTGTCACCCTGGGTAGAGTGCTGTGGCATCACAGCTCACAGCAACCTCCAACTTCTGGGCTCAAGCGAGTCTCCTGCCTCTGCTTCACAAGTAGCTGGGACCACAGGTGCCCGCCACAACGCCAGGCTATTTTTCGGTTGCAGCCATCGTTGTTGTTTGGCGGGTCCGGGCTGGATTTGAACCCGCCACCTTAGGTGTATGTGGCTGGCGCCTTAGCCACTTGAGCCACAGGCGCCGAGCCTACAAAGGTCCACTTTATGAAGCATTTGATGAATACTCTGAGGCATGAATGTGAGCCAGCTATGTGGCTGGCTGTAGGTTTGTTGTGAACACGTGACATCTGATGGAGAAGAAAAAATGCAAACCTGCTTTCTTTGGGGGCAAATGGCCATGAAAAGAAAACCAGCTGCTTTTATGAATTACTTCAGCTGTATCACTAGAATCACGATCAGTTTAAAGTATTCATTTGAGTCTTTCAGTTATATTTTATTGAACTTTAATGAGGAAATTATATGCTCTGGCGATGCTCATAAATGTGCAGAGTCACAAAGGTCACCAGGTGGGCCCTGAATAGTGATAAGAGTACCCAGGATTAACTCCACAAGCAAGGGGAACAGATTCACCAGGATGGGCCACCACTCTCAACACGAAAAATACTGCTCCCCACTGGATTCAGACCCTCTTCAAAATGTTTTTAATTATGAAATATCCCAGGCATATAAACACATAGAAAATAATATAATAAGTATTCTTAAGTAATATTACAGATGCCCTTGAAGTGCCTTTGATCGCATCTCCTTCCTTTGCCAAAGATAACCACTGTCATGGCCCATTCCTGCCGCTATTACAAAAATACCTTAGACTGAGTTAATAAACAATAGAAATTTATTGCTCACAGTTCTGGAGGCTGGGAAGTCCAAGATCAAGGTGCCAGAAGATCTAGTATCTGGTGAGAGCTGTCTACTTCAAAAATGGACTTTCTCTCTGTATCTTCAGTTGGCAGAAGAGCAAGGAGCTCCCTTGAGCCTCTTTTATAAGGGCACTGATCCCATTCCCGAAGTCCCCACCTCCTAATACCACCTTCCTGGGGATTAGGTCCCAACATGTGATTTTGTGGGGTTGCCAGGATTCAAAACATAATAACCACTGCCCTGAGTTTGAGATTATCCTGATTATACATTCTTTGAAATTTGTTATACAAGTATATGAATCTATAAATAATGTATAGCGTTTATGCATATTCTTAAACATTACATAAATGGAGTCATACATATCTTTCTACAACTTGCTTTATTTTTGCTTAGCACTATTTTTTGAGATTTACCTATATTGATATATAGCTTAGGGCATCAGTTTTCACTGCTGTATAACAAACAGTATATAATATTCCACTATAGGACTAAACTAAAACTTATTCATTCATTCTCTAGTTGATAATTATTTAAGTTGTTTCCTGTTTTCACCATTGCTAATAATGCTGCAGCTTCTGTAGGGTAGAACCTCTGTAAGTTAAACTGCCCAATATACAGAGATGGTCGACATAAGGGACTAGGTCTACTATACTGATACGTATAGTACCAGACATATGTGGTACACGTTCAGTCTGTGAAAATTAGGTCAGCATGAGGAGGTGGTCATTGTAGGGAGGTGGTCAACTATGGAAGTTCTACTGTATATGTTTAGGAGTGAAATGGCTGTCTCAAAGGGTATGCCTATCTCCAGTTTTTCTATATGTTAGCTAAAATGTTCTCCAAAGTGGTTATGTCTGTTAACACCCCCACCAGTTCCATGTGAGAGTCCCAGTTGCTTCACATTTGTCAGACTTCAATTTCTGCAGATCAGATGGGGGCAAAATGGTTGATGTGCACTTTGAACAACAGGGGGCACTTCTTTCTAAAACTCTTTCCTAGACATTCAGGAAACCATGTGAAGCTACTAGCATTTGCAGAGGCCAGGGTTTTCATGAGTGGAGGCTTTGAAAAATCAAATTCAGAAAGCCCTGGAGGGGTCAAGTCACCAAGAACCAATATGGAGTGGCCCTGGGCCCATCCAACTCTGACTTTCAGGTCTGGATAGAGCCTGTGGGGCCCTTTTTGAGAACTTAACTACTGAACATGGGGCAGCTCTTGTCCATGACCCTGGAGGGATGGTGAACTGGAAGGATGGGCCTGAAGGCCCTCAGAAAATAAGTCCTCCACCAAGGACCCCTAAACCACCTGTGCCACTGTTCATTTAAGGCAAGTAAGGCCAGTGGTGATGGCTGAGGTGAGGTTCCTATTTACAAATCCCTCCAAGTTATCTGCACAAAAGGGTGGGCCCACTGTCAGACACAATTGTCTGACAGCTCATATGTAGCAAACTAATGTTGCAGCACTGTGACTGTTTCATTATAGGATGGGGGAGATTTGAGGGGCCCTGGGAGCTAATTCACGTTCTTGTCCTAGAGCGTTGCTATCGAGTACACATGCTGTGCACTGATTCCAATCACATAGCTCACAAAGTGAATGACATCCCCAGGGGCCATGCCATTTGGCAGCCTTGACAGAGTCCTAGAAAGTTTTTGGCCAGGGCATCTCAGAACCCATGTAGGAGAAGCAGAGGCTCTCCACGGATTATGCTAAATGACTGGAAAGATCTTCCCTTCCATAAAGTCTTTTAACATCAGAAATAATCTCCATATATAGGACCTGGACTTTCGGTCACTGTCCTCTGAAGACAGCTGCTGGATACCAGGAATGAATGTGGTCAAGATACCATGATGACCTTCCAGCATCTTTGATGCAACAGTAATTTGTGTTAATGGCTAATGAACTTCTTTAATTCCTTGGACAGATTTTCTCCTGATTACTTTTTTTCCATCCATTAGTTAAAAATCCAGGTCAGCATGAGGTACCATGCATTTAGTCATGTTATTTGCTCAACATAAAGTGATGGATTAGGGAGGGTTTTCTAACCATCAAAACTGTCAGGGAAAGTACAACTGTTCACATCCTTCAGCCCAGCAACTCCACTCCTACAGATCTGTTCACACACAACTCCTACATATCCTACAGATAGGTTCACATACAAGCAAAATGATCAGTGTGCAATATTGATTGCAATATCAGCATTTGTTTTGGTGGCAAAAGTGGCAACCACCCAGGGCCAGGCATGGTGGCCTGTAATCCTAGCACTCTGGGAGGCCAAGGCTGGTGGATTGCCTGAGCTCAACAGGTTCGAGACCAGCCTGAGCAAGAGTGAGACCCCCATCTCTAAAAATAGCTGGGCAGTGAGTGTGGTGGGCACCTATAATGCCAGCTACTCAGGAGGCTGAAGCAAGAGATATTGTTTGAGCCCAAGAGTTTGAGGTTGCTGTGAGCTATGACGACATGGCTCTCTACCAAGGGCAACAAAGTAAAACTCTATCTCAAAGGGGAAAAAAAATGGCAACCACCTAAATCACTCACTTTATTCATTCTTTCAGCAAAGGTTCATTGAATGCACTGTTCTGGACCCTGGGTTTTAGCAGTGAACCAAGCAGACAAACCTCCTGGCCTTCAGGAAGTTTATATTCTGGTGGAGGGAGATAGGTAGTATAAGATAATATAGGATAAGGAATTGTTGTTCATTGGTGTTGCTAAGGAGAAAATAAAGAGGAGAAAGGATTAGGGCATTTGGGAGAAGAGTTGCCATTTTCGATAGTGTGGTCCAGTAAGGCCTCGCTGAGAAGTGACATGTAAATGGAGACCTGAAGCAG